ATTGCTTTCCCTGCTTCCTCTCCCCCTCTTGCCCCTGCTGCTGCTGCTGCTGCTGCTGCACCTTATTCGTCGTCGCCGCCATGGCCAGCAGCTTCCTGCCGCTGTGCTGGTCTAGACACGCCACCGACAGGCGCGACGCCGAGCAGGGGTAGATGAGCTCCCCGGACACAGGCGCCAGGACGCCGCTCAGCACCCGCAGCAGGGAGGACTTGCCGCTCCCGTTCAGACCCAGCTGGTGTGAGTGTGTGTGTGTGTGTGTGTGTGTGTGTGCGTGTGTGCGTGTGTGTGTTTTGGACGGGGGAAGGGGGAGGTGAGGGGAGGGGAGTGCGGGGAGGGGGGGGTCATCCGATGTATGTATGCACATATATATACACACATATACAGACACACATACACATTTACACATAAAAATACAAAATCAAATATTAACACTTATACGTATGCATATGCACATGCAAATACAGAAGCCTTCCACTCTGTAACAACAACAACATGTACATGTACACGCTGCCCCCTGGCCTGCACTCCGCCGCCACCGCCACCGCCTTTCCCGGCCCCTGCCGTCTCCAAACCCGCCGCTCTCCCCCCGTTACCCGGGAGCTTAGGTTTGGATGATCCCTCCCCCCCCTGCACACACACACCAAACCGATACGAGCACCCTGATCCACGTCCATAGCCACGTGGCTGAGCACCACACCAGCGCCAGCGCCAGCGCCAGCGCCACTGCCGCTGCCGCAGGGGGCGACGGCGCTCTCCAGCCCGCCGACCTCGCCTGGAGTAGACGTCACCGCCAGTGGCGGCGGCGCCGCCGTTACCTGGTGCTTGGCGGCGGCAGACAGCTTTACAGGCGGCGGCGCCGCCGCCGCTGGCGCAGCAGCTGCATCTCCAGCTCCGCCACTCGGGTGCGCCAGTGTACTGCCGTACGCCACTGTGACGTCACGCAGCTGCAGCAGCGGCCCCCGTTGCCGCAGCTGCTCGGGTGGCGGGAACTGAATCACGACGGGCTCCTCCGGCCGGTCCAATTCCACCTTTCATACGGAGGTGGGTACACATAAGCATACACGTACGCATAAGCATACGCACAAACATACGCACATACATACACACGTACATACACACACAGGGGTACACACCGTTGAGGCCGTGAAAGTGATACTTCGCAAAGAAGGGAAGGTGGAGGAAAAGATACGCTCCACAACCCCAACACAGACACACACACGCACGCACAAATACACACGCTCACCCACCGGCCCCCCTTGCACCCCGCAAAATTCGCTGATTCGACAGGATGCTGCCTCGCCCCCCTTCCCAAGCCCGAGATCCCCCCCTTTATCTCAGGTCCCCTGCCTCTGCCGCCGCCCCTGCTGCCTGTGTGCGTGCAGCCCGTGTCGTACATGTCGTACCTGTGGCCGCAGTGTCTCATGCCAGCCAGCCCAGTACGACACTTTGAATCGCTTGCCGTCCGCGGTCTTCTCCGCGCCAAGCCGGTCCATCTTTTTGCGGCGACTTGCGGCCTGAAGGAGCCGCTTGTCATCACCCGCCTTCGGAAGGGAGGAAGGGGCAGGGGGGGAGGGGGGAGGGGGGCAGGGGGGGAGGGGTGGATACATAAAAACGACAAAGGACCAACTACCTCTAAAACACCTTTTGCGGGGTTTCCCTTCTCCTTCTTGTACTCCCTCCCCTCCCTCCCCTCCCCCCCTCGACTGTACTGCACTGTACTGCACTGTACTGTACTGCAGCCGGCGTATCCTCACCTCCCTTGCAGCCCTTTCCGCCCTGGCAATGGTGTCAACTAGGAGGGCCTTGTGCCGTTCCTGACCCGCCACCTGGCGCTGCTTGTGAAGAGAGGCCTCCGCGCGAGCCTGGGAGGGGGAGGCCACACCGCGGGTAACTGTGTACGGCACCGCCAAGAAGAAACACCATGGGTACGGCATAGATAGGAAGTGAAGCATGACACGGAATGAGCGGATGTGTGTAAGTAGCGGGGTACCGCCAGCTGGTGGTTAAGTCGGTGCGCCGGAGATCGAGAGCGAGAGGGACACAAGTCGCAGAGTCGCAGCGGTAGCAGCGTAGCAGCAGCACTGGTTGAGAGAGGAGGTCGCCAACATCCCCCCCCCCGTGGGAGATCATGGGGGTAACCGGGGTATGACGCAGCCCCAGTACGGCTGTACGGCATCAAACTATCATAGCACATGACAACCTCCCTGATCTCTATGATAGCTATCCCACCTAGCCTCACACTCTGGGAACGCACCTGCACGTACATGTCGTACGTGCCTGGGAAGTACTGTAACTGGCCGTCCCGCAGGACAACAGTTTCCTGAGCCACACAATTCAAAAAGGCCCTGTCGTGGCTAACCACCACAACCGTCTGCCCCGGGCAGCGGCGGGTCAGGTAGTCCTTTCGGGTTTGGGGGGGACGAGGGGGAAACGGGGGAGGGAGCGGGCAAACACACGCAAGGTCGAGGCAGGCGGGAGGGAGAGGGGGAGGGCGAATATGTGTTGCAAACCCTAAAACCCCTGAACATTGAACAACTCCATTGACGAGATTGCCGGGGCTGCTGAGTTTGGGGTGGGGCAGCGGTGGTCGTGGTGGTCGTGGTGGTCGTGGTGGTGGTGGTAGTGGAGCGTGTACGACGGAAAAACACCGCAGCGGCCGACAAGTGACAGGTTTGCCATAAAAGCAGCATTTCCCCTTCTTCTGCAAAAGGGTCCCGATGTAGGGTACCTTCTCCCCCCCTTTCCCTCTCAACCCTAACCTAATTTCCCGCCACCTCCACCTCCAACCCCACTCCCAGCCCCCGCCCCCGCCCCCACCCCCGCCCCCGCCCGCGCAAGCACCTGCAGCCAAAGTATGGACCCGAGGTCCAGGTGGTTGGTGGGTTCATCGAGCAGCAGCAGATGCGGCTGGGCCAGGAGGGCGCAAGCAAGAGCTACCTGGAGGAAGAGGTGGGCGCATGGTGAGGAGGGGGAAAGACGAACCACGAACGAGTGAAGCTGCTGCCAGTGCAGGGTGAGGAGGGGGTGGGAGGGTGTGTGTGTGGCAAATGCGTGGGTGTTTTTTTCCGTACAGCTGAGCTTCGCGCGCTGTAGCAAGTGTGGACACGTGCCTGTACGTGCGACGAGACCAGCCGCAGCGGCGGGGGGGGGGGGAAATACCACCCGGCTGTGGCGTTACCTATTTCTTGTACACATGTATATAAATCCCGCCCTACACTCAAACCCTCTTGCTCAATCGCGCCACATACACACACACCTCAACCCCCCGGCCCCCACCTACCCGCATCCGCCAGCCGCCACTCATCTCCCTGGTCGCCACACCACGCAGCCGCTGCGCTTCGAAACCAAGTCCGTACAACACCTCCGCCGCGGCCCGCTGCTCCTCCTCCTCACTGCCCCCCAGCAGATCAAGGCTGTCGTACAGGTCCGCTAGCAGCTGAGGCGCCAGGGAGGCCGCCTTTTCGGGGGTGAGCTGCGAATGCGGCACGGGCGAGGGGAGAGTGGGGGAGGGGAAGGCGGGGGTCAAGGACGCCTTTCCATGAACCCCCTAAAAACCTAAAACCGCTAAAACCCCTAAAACTCTTAACTCTTCCTTATTCTGGACATTCCCTTTCGCCCCCCCCCGGCGTTTCTATCCGAGCACCTCCCACCCACCCAGGCTGCTCCCCTACAAGCCGTGCCTCTAGACCGCCTAGAGGACATTACACATGCACACACACCGCTCTTGCCATCTATCCCATCCTCACCCAACCCCTTCCTTTACCTTCGCCCCCCCACCCCCGACGTCGTCCCACGCCATCCCTCCCCTCCGCCCACATCGAAACACTTCCTAGGACCTGGGTCCCCCTCCCCTTCCCGAAGGATTGAGAAATACCCATCACGCACACGGTCCGTACAGTCCGTGCAGTCCGTACAGTCACCCTTCTCCCCCTCCCACCTGCTCTTCCTGGGCCTTACGAGCCGCCTGTCGGGCCTCAACCGCATTCCTCACCGCCTCCTTACCGCGAGTCCGGCTCCGTCTAGCTGCCGCTTGCTCTGCAAGGCAGGTTGAGAGCAGCCGCGTCCGTGCGAGCGAGCGAGCGACCGAGCGTGCATTCGTACGTACATACGTACATACGTACATACGTGCGCAGGTACGTATAGTCGCGAGTGCGTTTCTCATTCACGAACTATTGATGTATAGCGCGGAACAACTGCATGTGCACCAACCAACCAACCAACTAACCGCTCCAACCGTCCCCACGAACTAACCCGCTAACCGCCCAACTGCGTGTTACCCATTCCGCGTCCTGTTTGTATTACCTAAACCTCAGCTTAACCACCCAACCACCTTGCCTGCCTCCACTGCCTGCCCCTCTGCGCGGGCTGCCAGTATGCTCCGTACACACACCACCAAACGCTGAGCCCGCCTCTCCTCCGGCCTCTTCTTCTTCTCTTCCTCGTCCTCATCCTGCTTCTCGTTATGCTCAACCCCAGCCGCCGCAGCCGCCTCCGCAGCCACAACCTCGCCGCAGCCGCCCGCGTCAGCTCCCTCCAGCTCCCCCTCCCCCTCCCCCCCCAGGGCCTCCTCCAGCTCGGCGATCTGCGCCATCAGCCCCCCCCGGGGGCTGGCGGCATCTAGGACGGTCTGCTGGGCGGAACGCTGGTCCCCCGGCACGTTTTCTTGCTGGACGTACATGACCTGTAAGGAAGCGCGTTTAGGGGGATGGGATGTCTTTGTGTGTGTGTGCGCGTGTGTTCATGTACATGTATGTGTGTATGTCTGTACCCCTGTCACTGGGAGTCATTGGGAGTTTCGGGAAAGTGGAGGGGGCGTTGTGCCAGGAAGTCGAAGCTAATGCACCCGTGTGAGAAGAGGGGGAAGGAGGACGGGAAGAAGGTATGCCGCTGGGAGGGGGAAAGCTGCTGTTTGCCATGTACGGCAGAGAATGGGAAAGTTGTGTTCATGAGGAAAAGCGATCCTCTCGGGCATAATGGTGGTCTTGGCGCCAGCTATCGTACACAATCATGCAGGTGACCCACTTTACGTGCGATTACCTTCATGTCTCGGGGCATGCCTGGGATGGATTTGTTCGCACAGGCTTTGAGCAAGGTGCTCTTGCCTGTGCCATTGCGACCGACAAGGCCGTAACGCACGCCTCTCCGCAGATATAGATGCGCGTCAGTGAGAAGCCTGCGATCGCCAAAGCTTAAACAGAGGCCACGGATGTCGACGTCACCGGTGGCGCTGCCCTCAATCGTCTCCATGTGGAACCGTGACAGCTGAACGGCCACCTCAACGGCGCCAGACTCGGTATCGCTGTTGCTGTCGGTATTGTTCATTGTATTGCACGATTTCCTTTTGCTGTGAGATAGCAAAGTTATGAAGCAGATAATAGCCGGTACAGCGACGCTAATTTTGGCACTAACTGTATGCTTTCGCTGTGTGGGGGAACTGAACATGCAAAAAATAAAATTGTGAGTTTGTGCTCGAAAAAAACATTCAACTGCTTTTCCTATCTACTGTGTAGTTTCTCGTTGCGTGAGTCCAAGGCCATATCAGGCCAAGTAGGCTTTGCGCATTTTCCTACCCGTGCAAGCCCGTATACGCACTTTTATATCATGCGGCTAGAACTTGACAGCATGCAAGCTGTCGGGGACTGCCTGTGCATGCGAGGTTTGGGTTGCGGCTTCGTGTCAGACCCATCCATGGCGCCATCCATTGACCCCGGCAGTCGCTAAGACCCTGCCGGGAACCCAAAGCGCTTGTTTCCCCTTTCCAATTTTTTCCCCTCTTACTTCCAGCACCTGGGGTTTTGCGCGAGGCACGCAGTTGGCAAGCTGTATTCTTTTCCATTATGACTGACATTCGACGCTTTCGCACCTTGTAGTGATTGGAAGGTGGAAGCCACAAAAGTTCCGCTTTTAAATTATTTCATCTGGATAGGTGCACAGCAAGACCTTTCCGTATTAGAACAACAGCTTATATTGGAAGCCTGTCAATAGCAGAGTAGCCCCGTTGCAGATCGTGCATGGAAGCAGGCGATGGCATTCAGCAGCCAGCCAATGCTGGTAAACGTGAGGATAGCGGACCCAACTGGCGCTGCCCGTGGACATCGTTTCCCCAGGCTAACCTAAGCACCCAACCGTCCACCATGAACAAAGTTAGCCGGAATCTGATTCTATACCAAATATCTGCTGAGGCTCACAATTGGCTCATAATAGCCATAAAACCGCGGTGGTGGCCCTGTAGGTGTGCGTTAGCGTCTGTCTCGGGGGGCCTTACGTCCGCCATCAGCTTCTGCGTCCAGCATCCGATAAGATTCCCTCCTGTGGGATTGTCCAAAATGGGCGAGAAGCTGCTGCTATAGCTGTACCTGCTGCGCCCGCCACGCTCATCTATTCGTGGCAATACGAACACCGAAGCCCTTGTCCCTTAGCATTCCGGCGAAGTTTTTGTCCCTTAGCAGGTTGCACAGTTTGATGCTTGCTGTGGTGAGGTTGCCATCAGGCTTGGAGGCGCCCCCTACCTGCGCACAAGTATCGTAACCCATTCGGCGCCATGGAAGAGAGTCCGCCGCCAACTGCACGAAAAGATGGATGCGAGGGCGCCTCCCACAACGCATGCCACGGGAACAGGACAGCGCCTCCCTACATAACTAAACGTAACCCATCGTAGCATCCTAAATCATGTGCCGCATCATCATGCCACGTCAAGCAAGCGAGGTAACCCCTACAGAACCCGGAATAAACCGGTCGTGTCACACACATAGGCACAGCTACACCAAAACGCTCTCGTTCAAAATGTACCCAACCGCTGCAACCATATATCCCCATGCAGCGCACGCCCTCACAGCGTGCGCTGTGATTTGCGTGTCTTTCAGTTCGCGGAAGCCGCTCATCGCGCTAGGAGGGTAGGTGTGGAGTCATCATTCGCTGCTGCAGCAAAACCAAGGACATGCCTCACCGCAGCAGTAGCAGCTGATCTTTATCCACCGGCCTCACAGGTCATCAAAGGGCCCCTCCTAGCCCTTTCTTGCTTCATCCCCTTCGCCAGGCTCGCCCTGGCTGCGTGCTGGTGACACACAGACGGACATCACAACCACACCGGCTGTCCATGACACTGCACATTCGAGTATGAGCCGTAGTACGTAACAGGAAATCGCCGCCATCGCCTGCTGCTCCAAGTCCACCGCACCGTATACACATGCACGCCAATTCACGGTGCGTCCTTTCCTACCAAGCCCAACCAAGCCCAGTTCGAAAAGTCTTCCCATCCTACAGACCCGGCAGGCCGATGGGGCACCCCGCAGGCTCGATGCCCGAAGCTTGCGGAACACATCGCCTCCAACCCGTCCACCGACAGTAGCATCACCACCACCATAGCCTCCCTCCATCGGCAACAAACTCTATTGCAATCGCCGTGCAGGTGGTTGCCTATTGCGCTCCAAAGCAAATTCTCTTCCATATCTTGCAAAGCTCACTTCTTCTTCTTGCCGCCGCCCTTCTTTTTGCCCCCCTTCTTGCCAGCGGAGCCGGGCTTGCCACCACCCTGCAGCGCACAGCACAGCACACAGCACACAGCACATTCCAGAAACGCACGTCAGCGGTGCAACGGTAGTTAAACCATGAGGCGGTGTGTAACGGCTGGGCGATCTGGAGTCCATCGCCGCATAGGTGCAAGCAATTAATGCAGTGATGCATGGGCAGGGCAGGTGGGCTTTCCTCGGAAAGCCTTTCCTCAGCTGCCGAGACCCTCTTTGTCCGGTGTGTACCGATGCTCTACGTGCGGGAGGTGCATGGAGCAAAAGTCAAACACGCCGGCAACCTTAGCAGCAACCTCAGCAGCCACAGGGGGGAAAGGTGTAGCGCGTGGGATACGATCAGTGATTCGAGGCCATATGGTACATGTGGCGTACAGCCCAGGGTGGCTTGCAGTCTGGTCCTGATCAAGTCGACCAGGTCGTTGGCAACGGATGCACGACTGTGCGGGGCTCATGTTGGGACGCGCGTATCCAGCAGTCATATGCAGCAGAGGTGATTGATCACGCACCTTGAGAACGGACATTGCCGGGGTCTTGTCCATGAAGCGCCGCAGCGCCTCGTCAATCTCCTTGCTGATGGGCTCCACCTAGAGAAAAAGAAGTGCAACAGCATTCGCATTCGCAGCAGCAGCGCCATTAGTAACAGCAAGAACAGCAGTAGTAGCAGTAGTAGCAAAGGTCCTCAGCAGGGATGTCATCAGCGGCAGGAGCAGTCAGCAAGGTCCGCAGCAGGAGCAGGAGCGATCAAGCGCGAATAAACACCTACCTTGCACATCCACTGCAGCACCTCGGGGATGTCCACAGGCGCTATGCGCAGACGCTCAATGCGGCGCTTGGTGAGCAGGGAGTGAACAACCATGTCCAGCTGGCCAGCCGAGTAGCCGTCGCTGATGTGCGCCAACGTGCTCAGGTCGAACTCGTAGCTGAGACGTCCCTGCGGCGCGGAGGCAAGAGGCGGAGGCAGAGGCACGGAAGACACCAGAGGGAGAAGCGATGATGCCAGCAGTAATTGTCAGAAGCAGTTGATGCCAGAAGAGGGGACATAGCACATGCTGATGATGCTGACGAAACAAGGAACGCCAACTGCCTAGAGGCTAGACGGCTAGATGTGGCGGGAAGGAGGCGGATGGGACACGGATTGCAAGACGCGAAAATGGGTCAAGGAGCGGCAAAGGCAAGGGCAAAGAAAACTCACACACGCACACATGCCGCCCCACGTGCATAGAAACTCACAGCACCCACGTGATGCTCCCCGGCCCACCTGGTGCCGTTCGAACAGGCCTGGCCACACCACCCGCCGCGAGGCGTAGTCGGGCAGCGGCATGAAGATGTGCTTGGACCAAAAGCCCATAAACGCGCGCTCGTCCTTTTTCACGCACAGGTACGGCTCCCGGCTGTTGCCCAGCACCAGCACGCGCTCTCCGGGCGCCAGCCCCTTGGCCTCCTTCAGTAGCTCCTTCTTGATGCGACTGAACGGCTCCTGGAGTTGGCGTGGTTTCGGAGGCAAAAGCAGGAGGGACGGTGCTAAGAAGGAAGGAAACGCGCATGGCAGGACAGGACAGGACAGGACAGGACGCAGGCCTTTAAAACACTTAAAAGATCAGGAAGTTCTCGCGGGACAGATTGGGAAGGCAGCTCTAAGTCGGGGTTGTTTACAACTCTACTCGATCGGAGGATACATTCAAATCGCCAAAAGAGGAAGAACGGTTCGACCAACGGTGCGGCGAGACGCGCGCGCGCGCGCCACCAGGGCAAGGCTTTTCTTTCCGAAGCGCCACCATCGCCACTATCCGCAACGGAGGCACTGCTAAAGCAAGCGCTGCTCATTAAGTTTCAGGTGGTGTCATGCCGGGGCCCCAGCCAGGGGAACAACTTACGCGTCAAGCGGCGAAACACACGTCATGTGCCATGCCCAGGCTGTGCCGGGGACCTCAATGCGGGTCCTAGCTAAAAAGGAACAGGACCTCCACAGCGAGCCAAGGGGCATGTGGGGGACACACGTCAGCAGCACACGCAGACACACCTGGCTGCCAAACTCTCGCAACTTCTTCTTGTCTGTAAGGAACACCTTCTCCGCTTCGTCAATGTAGACGACGGAGGGCGCCATGGTGCGTGCCACCTGCGCTCACGGCGTCCGCCGGGGGCCATAGGGGCATGAAACATGGTTGCAGAACATCACAACATATTCTTTGTTGGCTCACATCGCAGAGAAAACGTGGATTCACATAAGGCAGCAGCCGGGATGTCGCAGCCCCGCGGCCTGCAGCTAGCGGAGACACACGCAGCGCCCGAAACACGCCGGCTGATTGGCGTGGAGCCCACAGGACAACTGGGGGAAAAATAAGCGCTTTGTGGCGCCGCAAAGCCCCGGGCCCAAGGCAACCCATTCCATCTATCCATCTATTCATGTATCCATGTTTCCATGTAACCAGGCAGACAGACAGACAGACAGACAGACAGACAGACAGGCAAACAGGCAATGCCAGGTAGCCAGCCAACCAGGTAGCTCCCTACTGGACAGCTCACGCACACGTGGCTTCCTATCTCCCTACACTCCCTCTACACCGCGATGCACCAGGGCCCATGGGCACCTCTCACCTGCGCCCTGCTGACCTCCCCTAGCATCCCACCTAATGCCCATCATCTGGGCCCCAGCCTAATTCATCTTATTCCCCTCCCAGCCCGGGGGGCCGCGGCCTCCCCCCCATGCGCACGCAAAGGCCGTTATAACACTCCAGAACAGCTCGGCAAGATCCCTTCTACCACACATCCCATCGGTCATTCCTTCTATCACACGCCCGGCGCTGAGACCATTAAACAAACAAAACACATCCTAGCACACATTCCTTTTTTAAGTGCGGGTGGCCCCACCTTAAAAACCATGTGAATCATCATGGCCACGTTCTTGCCGGGGTACTTCCCGTCCGTGTTGCGCGGGGAGATGTCGAAGAAGTTGGCGCCGCTGAGGTTGGCAATGGCCTGGGGAACAAGGGGACAGTTAATGCCACAGTTAGTGCAATGGCCTGGGGAGCAAGGGAACAAGGGAACAGTTAAGCAGGGAATTAAGCAGGGAGTGCGGAGGCTCAAGTGAGGGCAGGGACGCCGCCGGTGGTGTGTGTTTCATGTCGCGCACGGCTCCCCTGAGATCTGATCGGGGGAGAGGAGTGGCGTACTTCATTCTGTAAGGTGGGCGTTTGTCGGGATTGCGATGATGGTTTGCGTTCGTTCCACGCCAGCGCAGCAAGCCGTGTGCTGCCTACTGATATGTGCCGCGTTACTGAGGTGCAATATCCGATAAATCAATACACCGGCCTTCCCTAAACCGATGTTCTATTTTTACCTCTGCGACCACTACCATGCCCACCACCGACATGACACCATTACGAGCAGTGGCAGATAACCCAGGGGCAACCGCAGCCATCGCCGCGACGCTCCTGCGCACCTGCGCCATAAGCGTCTTGCCCGTCTTCTCTGCGCCGTACAACAACAGCGACTTGATATACGGCGCCCGCTCGTGGATGAACTGGGAGCCCAGCGGCAGGATGCAGTACTCCGTGAGAGCTTGCCGTACCTGCGCCGTTCCGAAATCGCCGTACCAACGGCGCGCGTTCAGGTTGCGTTTTCGCTGCCATAACGCGATAGGCCGGAGCCACACCCATAGCCAGAGCCAGTGCCAAGTACGTGCATGGACCCGGCCCCCGGCATGGCTGTGCAGTTCACGGCGAGCAGGTGTGGACATGCAGCTTGCAGGGGAAAAAAGAGATACAACGGCCGGATCACGGCTTCAGACTCTTGTGCACACACAGACACACACACACACAAAAAAAAAACCTTAAAAAAAGTGTTGCCCATCCACCACCAGCCCAGACATCTCAGACATCTCAGACAGCCCCAGACAGCCCATTGGTCCGCCTCTGCCTATTGCTGGCGCAGCAGCTGCTGCTTTCCTGCGCCATGGCTGCTTACCTGCGCCATGGAGGGGTCGGGAATGATGTTGGCCTTCTCCAGGGTGGCGGCCATGAAGGACGATGAGCCCAGGTAATCCCGCACATGAACGTGGGGACACTGCTGCAGTATGCCGTTGGAAACCAGCTCCGCGAACAGCGACTCGATGGAGCGGTCAGCCTGCGGTAGAATAGGGGGAGTAACGCGGGTGGTGTTGGTAAGGAGAAATGCAATCTTATGTGGCACGGGCCGTGGCGGAGAGGATGCGTGAGGAGTCATGCAAGAAGCCGATGTTGTATCACGACTAAGGATATGAGGACAAGGTAGGAAAGACGAACCACAAACGAGTGAAGCTGCTGCCAGGGCAGGAGTGTACCAGACGTAGGACAGGGGAGGGCGGGAGGGCGGGAGGACGGGAGCGCGGGGGCCTTACAAGGGGCGCCATGGTCATCCCGGACGGGAGCAGCGCCTGGAGTTCTGAAACGCTGCACAGCCGGCACGAGCAATGCAATGCGGTGATGATAATTAGGCCTGTAGGTGCAAGGCCGCCGCCCATGCGCTTATCGCGCGGTCCTTGCAATAATATCCCTCTTCAGGAGTAGAGAGACCCATGAGAAGCAACATCCATATTTACGAACCGCAAATCGCATTTCGTTTCTCGTGCCGTGGCGTCGCCGTCCTTGATTCCTTCCTTGAGTCCTTACCGTGGGGTCCTTCTTCTTCTTGCCCTTCTTGCCCTTGCCCTTCTTCTTGCCCTTCTTTTTGCCCTTCTTCTTCTTCTTTTTGCCCTTCTTGCCCAGCTTAGCAGCGCGTTCCGCCTCCACAAGGTCCTTCAGGTTTTGCAGCAGCACCCGCATCTCGTCATCCACCTGCAGAACGTGTTCAAATCGATCCGGCAGAGGTCCCGTTGGGGCTCGATCGCGGGAAAAAAGGAAACGAAGGTTTGGAAGGAAGGAAATTTGAAAAAAAAGGCTCTCCACGTGCGTTGCTGCAAAGCCCACGCGCAGCTACCACACTATGTACGATAACGGGATGGATTCGGCACCGGAACACGACGCAAAGATGAAAAAAAGTAACGCGAAAGGGGGGTTTGCACTCTCACAGAGATCTCTAAGCCAGCCCAGGGATGCTATCTTGTAAATCTGAAATACCGAGGAGTCCCGTAGCTGGGTTTTCCAAGCCAAGACATCAATCACGATATCGGTAATCGAAGCCGATAAAAAAAGTCGCAAGCGCCAGCGGCAACGACAATGCCAACAAAACCACGGATTGTCTTGGCTACCTGCAAGCGAATCTCCTCAAAGACGATGGGACGCAGCTCGTCCTTCACCAGCTCGGGGTCGTACTTCTGGTGGAAGTTGCCTGTCTCGTCCCGGTCCTGATGTTGAGAAATACAGGGGTTTAGGCAAACATTTTGTCTGGGAGGGGAGCGGTTGAATAGTAAAAACGAAATCACATGCGACAGAGGTACAGGGGGATTGACCAACAGAATTGGCGAGCAAGTTTGAATGCTAAACCTAACCTAAAAAAAAGCCCGGGGTACGGGGCAAGCGAATACGCAATTGACCACCACGCATGACACCTCGGACAAACATAACCCGCAGATATCCAGCGTCTTCCCCCGTGCCGTGTGGGGCGAGTACGTCGAGCGGTACGACATATACGCCACAGACGGACGGTCCTTTCTCCCCAAAAATCTGCTGTAACGGACCTCGTTCATCTCATTCCCTATCATACATTCCCTCGTACATTCCCACCCTCACCTCCCCTCTAACCCGTCCCGGCCTACCTCCCCAGCCCCACAGCGAACTGAGAACTGAGATCAGAGGACTGAACCCCTCGCGCATGGTAACCTACCTGCCACTTGGCCACGAATTCCTGCACCGCCGCCTCAATGGCCGGAATGAACACCGCCCCGATGCGCTCCGTCTCGGCGGGAACGTCGTCCTTCTTGTCCTTCTTGCCGTCCCTCTTGGGATCCTTTTTCTTGGCCACGTCCTTCTGTGATTCACACAACAAATACATACACCGCACACAGCACATAGCATACAGCACATACACGTCAGGTCCGTTGGGAGCCCCTGGCCGTCGTCAAATCCGGTCAGATGAAGCAATACACAAAAAGCTTTACACAGAAGAAGAGGGGGAAAGCAGAACCCCCCCGATCCCACATCAACGAAGCAAGTTAAGCACCCTGCAGGGGCTGCAATGTGGCGCTCATGGTGGCATTATCGGGAGAAGGAGAGTGGAAGGCAGGCGACTTGGAGGGCGAGGCGGCACGGTATCGATGGAGACTCCCCATTGGAGGGCGAGGCGATACGGTGCCGAAGGAGGATCCCCGTTCATCGTTTGCTTCCTCTATTCCCCCGTTAGCTCCTCACCTTACCTTACCATGCTGCCTCACGGCTTCTTCGTTTCGCAGCTGGTGCCCCACGCACAAATCCAGCACCACCACCATCCCAGCAACAGCAACAACAACAAAAGATACTACAACAAACGTAGAACAGCAACCAGAGCCCGCTCCATCCATCCTCCTCCTCGCTCCCCGTTTCCGTAACCCCACCCACCTTTGGGTCCTTGCCCTTGCCCTTGCCGTCCCCTACATCTTCCAGGATGACGGCCAGGCTGGGGGGCGGCGGGTTGAGGATGACGCGCGAACCGCCATCCGTAGCCTCCGGGAAGTCCGGGTACTCGCCAGTCTGGGGATTGCGCTTCTCCACGAACCACGCGTTCACCTGCGGCGAAGAAACACGAGTGCGTGAGCGTAGGGGCGTGACCGTGTGCCTCTTGTGTGTGTGTGTGCATACGCGTCCGTGCGTGCTTTCAAGACCGTGGGAATCCAGGGAACGGAGAGGTGAGGCCAGGTGCGACAGCGCACGAGTGCATGGAATTCGTGCGAGTACGTCGTTGAGCCCATACACGCCTTTCCCCCCCGACCAACACGATGCCGGCCACAAGCATCCCAGGCCAGGGCAAAGCTCTTGCCGTAGGTTTTTGCCCCCTTTCACCTAGATCCGCCTTGGAGCCCCCCTCCCTGCCCATTCGCTCGCTCTTCTTACCTTGTCCTGAATGGTCTCCCGCATGTCCTGTCCCTCCAGCTCCCGTACTTTGCCTTTGAGCGACACAATCGCTTCGTCGTACTCGCGCACGTGCTCCAGCTGGACCCGCTTGCGGCGCATGAGGTTCTTCTGCTCCGATGTCTGCGGATCGCGCTTGGCGTCCCGCGGCTATTCCGAGAGGGGCGAGGAGAGAGGAGAGAGGGGCGAGGAGAGGGAGAAAGATTCGGATAGGGGTCGGGAAAAGGGGCGAGAGAAAGGAGGAAAGAGGAGCGAAACTATGGATGTGCACACACAGGAGAGAAGAAGGCACAGCGATTGAAAAGAATGCTACGCATCGATGCCAAGATTACGGATTGGTGCTGAACGTTAAGGATGGCATGGCAAATGACTACTTCGCTAACGTGCCTTGGGCTTCATGCCGATGAACATGAGCTCCTTGTCCGCTTCCTTCTTGATGCGCCGCCGCCAGAGCCAGCCCCGAATGGCCGCCTGGATCTTCCTCGCCGCCTCGTCGTGGCTCAGAGTCACACCCAGTCGCACGCGCCGGTCCTCAATCTGCCGCTGCCGCTTGGCAATAGCAGCCACGCGGCCGCGCTCGCGCGCCTGCAGCGCAGAAGACACAGAAGAAGCGTGTGCTTTTTGTCATTTTCTGTGCTTATTCCCTGATGACTCTGTTTCCTCTGTCGCCCTCTGCCTGTTTACTCTGTACTCTACAACGAACCCTGGCACCCACATTGGTATTCAAAACTCCGGCTGTCATTCCTAGTCGCCAATCCCGGTCGCCATTCCTGGTCGCCACCGCTCAGCAAGCCACCCACCCGGCCCGGACTCTGCTAGCCTGGTTAATTTGCCCCGTGGTTCACCGACAGACTCACACAGACTCAAACCGACACCTCACCCCATTCCAACGCGGCCATCACTCGCGGCGGCCCCCATCATCCCCCCCGATTCCACCTTTCCCACCCTCCCTTACCTGACGACCTCGCTCGTTTTTCTGGATCATCATAATCGCCTCCTCCTCGCCCAGCGGCGCGCCGATGCGGATGATAGGCGACGAGGCGGGTCCCTTTACGTTGTACTTCTCTATGAGGGCCTGGGCAAAGCAGCCATTGGGTCCGCGGGTGCGTGCGCGCGTGAAGGTGAGTGGGTGGGTCGATGTGTGCGTGGGAACATGCCAATAGGCCGTGTAGCAGGTTTATGTGTACGTTGGCGGCCGTTCATTCCCCATGCACGGGACCTGCCGAAGGCCACGTTTTCATCCTCCTTCCGTTTTCCGTTTTCCGCCACTCTCCCGATCTGCGAGACAATCCGTTTTAGCTACCTCCCGCCGCGATAGCATGTAGCATCGACCACATCATCACCATCATGAAAACCGCCGCGACGGCCGCCACGGAAGGAGACACCCCCCACCCCCCACCCCTTCCACAGGGCCCTGGGCGGTACCTCCAGGAACTTATCCCGGTCATCCAGCTCCTTCGCGCGATCCTCGATGAAGTACTTGGGCACCGGCACCTGTGTGGAAGCCATACATGCACACGAGAATGTTCATTAGTTTGCAAAAGAAACGCAGATTGCCAACGATGTTGATGAGCTCAGCTCTCAGCTCTCAGCTTCAGCTCAGCTGAGCGGGATGTAAGGGTGCGGGCAATGCCGCTTCCACGGCGGGCGCAGGTAAGCAACGGGCAGACAGGCATGAATGGAAAGATGTATGGCTTCGCAGAAGCTGAAGCTGGAGCTGGGGATATAGCAAGGGAAAAAATCGGGGGGTTTGGCAGCTGTCGAGCCTTCGTCCACTTGATCTAGAGCAGCAACAGCAGCAGCCAGCCGAACGACGCATGACCCACATGGAGATCGGAAAGCCGGGGTCCCCCTGCCACCCAAAGATAGGCAGATCATCACAACAATTGTGATCTGCACTCTGTCTGTTCATGTTACACTTTCTGACGTTGTGTTACCCTCCAAAGGCGTAACGGGCCCAATCAAAAGCCGGGACCCCAAGGGACAGCCGAAGGCTGCCCGAGTCAGGCAGGATCATAGCTTTCCCAAAGGAAAACTGTGATCCTATCACACCGGGAAATTATGCCGAACCGAACTATCCGGACTGTTATGCTACAGCAGTGTGGCTGCGATTACAGATTCTCCTTAGCCAGGTACTACAATGTAAATCCCGACCCATGGGCCCCTTCCTGAAGCCCAATGGTTTCAAAGATTATCCCCCCCCTCCATCCAATCGTTGAAACTTCTCCCACCTCGTAGCGCCCTGAGCTATGCCCAAAGTAACAAAGCTGATCTGGTTTGTGTCAATATTTTGGCCCTAGATTTACAGCCGATCGTGTTTCCCTCCCACTTTTTCACTCCATTCACCCACCCAGCAACCCACCTCCAACACTTCAGGCCCCAACTTCAAGTCCACCAAGATGTCATCCAAGTTAATGAAGTCCAGTCCTCGGTTAAGCTTGACCTGTAGGGTTCCCCGCAGACAACAGGCATGGGGAGTCAGGTCGGCAAGCAAGCAGCCAAGGCAAGGACAGGTCTCACGGTCCACATCGCGAGGAACATCTGGTGCGTCACCAGACCAAGACAAGCATCGGCTCGCTCGCCTGGACGGAAAACATGCATTTCGAAGGTTACGAGGTAACGGGTCAGCGGGTACGGATTGCGAAGGGGTCCCCTTTCTGGTTTGTTGCGCGCCCCGATTGCATGCCATGCTGCTGATGCTGCTGATGCTGCTGATGCTGCTGATGCTGCTGATGCTGATGACCATGATGATGGCGAAAGGGCCAGACATCGCATCGCGTGGGTCGACCACCCGCGCATTCGCCCTACAAGCCTCGGGCACTGGCTCTGTGGCGCTACAATATAAATTGCATCCCGGAGTTTCACCACCCACCATCCAATGCCGAATTTCAAGCATTCGCCCGATGCAAGCCTCCAGCGCTTTACGCATATCCTGCAGCACTCAGCGAAACAGACGGGAAAAGGCGTGTGTAATTGACTGGAGCAGACGCGGAGCCGGCTTGGGAGCTTGGGAATGCTCCAAAACAGACGCTCCAAGTCCGCAACCATGCCTTTCTACAGCAACTGAGCCTTATTAAGGACAAGCAGATGCGGGTCGGGGAGAACACTGCGTGCCGACCCAGAACGGATCTGGGTTGTGTTGCTGAGAGAGTGAGAGAAAGTTGCTGATGGCGCTGCCTCGTGTTTACGCCTTGTGCTCCAGCGTCCCATTTTCCCAGCTCCAGAACCGAGGCGAAAGAGCAGACGCCCACAACCCCGATTAGCTCCCCAGGGCGCTACCAAACCTAGGCGGCTGATGCCGCGCTCGGGGGACAGATGCGGTGCGACGAGGTGCCGGCTGCGGCAGCCAGTCGTCCAATTCGGTGGATGGCAAATCTAGTCTGTGGAGGACGCGCAGCTAGCGCGGAACAAGTGACTTTTAGGAGCTTTGTTGGGTCGGTAGTGACGCCTTGATGTAACTCGCCGATTCATGGCGCCATTTCATGGCGCATGTTCCCATGGGTCCACGTAAGCTCGCTGTTTAGGGGATAGGTTTACGGGATTTGCCCTTCCTGTGCCAGCGTTGTGCACGTCAAAGCGTAGCGCTGTATGCTCTGTGAGGCTGGGGGACCCCAAGGCCGTCCCCACAGAGGCTCTCTCTGTCTCTGCGTGCCGCCTGCAAGCCACCTCCCGCCGGACCCCGCTTCCCCAGGCACAGCCGCCCCCATACCTGCCGCTTTTGCGGGTGTACCATCTGATCGTAGGATGTTTCCAGTTTCCGCATGATTTGCAGATACTTGATGTAGATGCATGCCCATTCGGACAGGTCCTGCGGGAACAACAGTCAAACTGCATGGAGGACAGTAGCAAGACATCCAGCTAACACTCGATAACCCCACAAGGAAATCCCTCGTGGAGTTCGTCCGTGCCTCGGTGCATGAGGCATTCCCAGACACGGCTCTAGCAGCCCCTAGCGCATTGTCCTGCCTTTCCCCTCTTGGGTGCCCGAGGCAGACGTGGCCACGCAAGGTGGTACCTTGGGGGCCAAGGTGGGGTCCTCCGGATTTTCTGCTTCAAGCTGGTCCAGAAGCTCCATCATGGCCTCCCGCCACATGATATCGTACGTGCTGCAAGCGGCAGCGGCATGCCAGGAGCGATCCCAACACGCGGTTCATAGTCTTGCAGACGGAGAGACTAATTAAAACAACCTAACAACAGAAATTATGACATGACTTCTATATGAGAGCCAGGGGCCCCATCTTGGTCTGAAAGTGCGTGACATGGGCTGCGGCACTTACACGTTCGCCATTTCTCCTCATATAACGGGGCCTAACGGCCCCGAAAGACGATGCTCCTATGACAAGTAAAGTATGTTCAGTACCGTGCGGGGGCTTCGAAGTATTCACCCCTGCCGCGTCCCTAAGGGTAGTTTCACAACGAAAGTATTCACTGTAGATTATTATTTCGCTACATGTAAATTACTATGTACGCTATGCATTTTTCATTTTGGATTTCTGCGTCATGACCAACTGCAGTGCACTTCCATGCAAATGTAAACTCCCATATGCTCAATAGATGAAATTACTGCTTTGGTGCAAAGACTGTGTATCCATTAAATTGTTTAAGAGATAGGATGCATGCTTTCCGTATGGTGGGACGAACAAGTTCAGCCTGAGTAACCTTCTCCTAGGCCTTCTTTTTGAGAAACTTGTTTTGCTTCTTAATTGCACGAGGAGACGAATAAGGTACCGGTACACTGCCTTGGATTAACCTTGCAAGAGTCTAGGCCTTGCCGCCTAACGTTTGGTGACGGGCCTAGGGCTACTTAATTGCATAAACAAATGCCATGATACATTATTCCGAAAAATTAAACAGCTATAACCGTCCTAGTAAGTACAACCTAGTGTAATCTCAGGTCTCCGACCCCGATTGGACTCGCAGGCTTACTGTGCTGCGGTCTCACCGGCGGGCTTGATAGATACATCCTTGCTGCGGCGAGCCATAAGGCATGTTCGCATCTGTGGCGTGGCTTTAGGCTCCAGCGCATGGTGATTGGTCCACCATACGGCGTGCCAGGAGGCCCCCAGTGCCGGACAACCTAGTGCCGCCGCCAGCATCCGGGGCTGCGCAAGCAGCACCGGCCGCGGCGGCACCATGCAGAACCATGGGTATGGGCAGCAGCCACAGTACGGCCAGGCGCAAGTGCAGCATCCGAACATGCAGCAAATGCAGCCCTCCCACCAGACTTCCTATGGCTTGCCGGGCAACGGGCCCCTGTCCCACTTGCAGCCGCAACAGCAGCTGATGCACACGGGGCAAGCCCTCCAACAGCAGCCAGGCAGCATGGCGCTGGGACCCTCGCAACCCTACCAGGGCCAGTTCCTGAACATTCAACAGCAGCAGCAGCAGCAGCTAATAAAGCCGGAGGCGGCACAGGCGATGCAGCCGACGGACTCTGTACAGACCCAGCAGCAGCTGCAACAACAACAGCCGTCGCCGTACGGCGTCCCAGGCGCTCAGGCATCGGCGGCACAGCAGGCGCAGACCCAGCACTTCCGCTTGCTGCAGCAACAACAGCAACAACAGCAACAGCAAACGCAAACGCAGCAGCAACGACCTGCAACGATGAACCCGCAGCCAGTACAGCAGCAGTACGCCGGTGCCGCCACGGGCTTGCCGCAGCAAGCCCAACTCGGCTCGCTCGGCTCGGGGCAACAATCCATCATCCATCACCCCCAGCCAGTGCATGCAGCTGCCGCACCTCCTTCCACTGCAGGCGTCTCGAACGCCCAAAACTTCGCAGCGCCCTTCCACTCCATCAGCCCAGCGGCCGTTGCGGCGGCGTACGGCAGCGGCACGGTTTCGCCGACGGCACCACGACCCGTGGGTCGCCCGCCGTCGGCCCCAGCCATGGGCTTCACGGAGAACCAGCTGACGGTTTTGAAGGCCCAGATTATGGCCTTCAAGGCGCTTAAGAAGGGCTCAGTGGCCCAGGATCCTACCTGGCCGCGCACGCTGGCGGATTGCTACCCGCCGCCTTTGCAAATGAGGAACACGAAAAAGTTGCTGGCAGCACACAACAAGATCGTTGCTACGGCAGCCAACGAGGCGGTCAAGTCAGCCGCGGCTGTGGCGACGCCGCAGCAGGCAACGGCAGCAGCGGTCGCGGCGGCGGCCGCCGCGGCGCTGCAGCTGCAACAGCAGCAACAGCAACAGCAACAGCAAGCCGGCGCGGCGGCGGTGATGCAAGCAGCTGCAGGCCGCGCGGCAGCCGCGGCGCCGGCGGCGGCCCTGGCGCTCGCTCCGCCACTGGAGCCGCCCAAGGGCGCCAAGGATGTGCACCGCTGGCAGGGCCCGTTGGTCACGTTGGAAAAGCCTCCGGAGGTGGAGGTGCCACCGGCGGTGACGCAAGCGGCCATCACCGCCGCCGCTACCAATGCCGTCGCCGCGGCCTTGGCGGCGGGCCAGACGCAGGAGCAAGCTATAATAGCTGCAGCGGAGGCAGCGAAGCTGGCGTCAGCGACGGCACATGCGGTTGCAGCCAGTAGCCATGAGGCCTCAGCCTCCGTGGTGCAGTGGGATGCATCCCGGATCATGATGGTCGAGTACAACAAGATCTTGGTACGGAAACGGAAGCGGCGGGTGGCGCAGCTTCTGGAGATGCTGCGAGCGAAGGATCGGCTCGCGCCGGGCTTTGACGCGGGGCCACGGCCGCCGCCGCCGCCGCCGCCCGTACCCACCTCAGCCGTGGTTGATGCCGCGGCGGCGGCAGCGGCGGCGGCACCACCGCTGTCGCTGCCGCCGCCACAGCCACGGCCTGCGCGTGGGGCGCTGCAGGTTGAGCTTCGCAGCTTGCGTCTGCTGGACACGCAGGTATACGACAAAACACACGCGTTTGGACGCATGTGCGCACGCATGTGATGACACCCGTAACCTGAGCGGAGTCTCAACCCGAGCGGAGTGGTTTCGGGGCCTCAGGGGCCGCCGTTTGGAACCAAAGCTTAAGTTGTATTCCTTCAGCACAGGGACCGCACGGGATGCTGTTTTCGAATCGAAGAACCTGCGTGTGCTAAATCGCACCGTGTACCGGCCTCACGTCGCCCGGTCATTTTTGTGTGTCACTGAAAGTCACTCGTCATCGTAATACATTAACGCAGGTGAAGCTGCGTGCAGCCATCGAACGCGAGGTGGATGAGCTGAAGAACCTTCAGGAGCGGCCGTACAAGAAGTAAGAGAGGGAACGTGTCTCTGTGTGTGTGCGTGTGTGTGGGGGGGGTTGTGGGCGTGCGTGTGTGCGTGTGTGTGTGTGGGGGGGGGGTTGTTTGTGTGTGTGCGTAAGAGAGGGAGCGTGTCTCTGTGTGTGTGCATGTGCGTGCGTGTGTGTGTCACAGCGGCGATTTGCATGCCATGGAGCCCACCGTCGCTGTCCTTAGTGCAGTCTGCAATTTTGCATGAGTGGATCGTCCATGGGTTGAAAGCTGGATTGTGATGTATGTATATGTATGTATATGTATGTATGTATATGTATGTATGCATGTCGTCTTCCAATGTTGCTTTCTGCAAGTCTTTTCCGCGCGAGAAGAGCGTTTGGTTGCACCGCGCACCTCTGCCAATCCGCAGGTTCGTTCGCGACGCGAGCATCACCAAGTCCCAACTGTCGTACGCCGCACTGGCGAAGCAGCAGCGCGAGTCGGCAGATCGCGCCGCGACGTGCCGATTGCAGTGGCGTAATGTGATTCAGGAGAGCGCCTCCGCCATGGCGGCGCTCCGTTCCGTGCGCAACAAGGGCGTGCTAAAGGTCGGTCTGTATGTATGCATGTACGTCTGTCAGCCTGTCTGTCTGTGTTTTCTTTTGCACCTCAGCGAATATCCTTATCGGGCTTGTGGGGTTTCGAAACAAGTCCTGACAATGAGAATGAAGTTCAAAAATTGGACATGGAGTTACTTCTTGCTTCCGAAGTTCTCCAATAAGTCTCCAACCCGTACACTCGGCTTACCCGTACACTTGGCCTAGTCTCTCACGTGACCACGTCATGACATGGCCATTTGTGACCTGGTCGTGCTGCCTCGGGGTTCGCCTCGCGCCCGTGCTAACATGGCAACCTCTGATTTGATGCCTGGATGCACTTGGTGCCACCACTGTGCTGCCACTGCTTGACATCCCCCCTTTCGCGCCTGTCGTCGCAGGTGCATGAGCGCTGGGGCCGTTCACACAACCGAAAGCTGGTGAGGAGCTGGGAGTGGTGGTGATGATGGTGGTGGTGGTGGTGGTGGTGGTAGTGGCTAGGCGGTGGCGCTACTCTGGTCTCTCGGAGCTTTGCGTTGCGTGCTGCTGTAGCATATCTGTTCTTGTTGCGCATTCTTGTTGCCCCGAGACACACGCCGTGTGCACCGCCACTGTTATCGCTGTTACCGCACAACGGGAGCACAACGGACACCACATTTTTTGTGCAGCGCTGGTGCAGGGAAAGGGGATCGTGGCAGGCAGGAAGGTGGTGGGCGGAGAGGCAGGAGCACCGTCCACAATTCGTTAAAGCACTCTCTCAGGGCCAAAAGTCACACTGTGGCTCCACCCATACGTTACATTTCACATCTCCCCCAAATTCCACCCCACTCCACCCCACTCCACCTACCAGACCCACCCGCCCCCGCCCCGCCCCGCCCCGCTCCGGAACCTGCACGCAGGATGACGACCATGAGCGCCGTATGGAGGCTCTCAAAGCCAACGATTTGGAGGCCTACCAGGCGCTGCTGCAACAGGTGCGTCAGAGATAAACAGACACGCAGGCAGACAGGTAGACAGGTAGACAGACAGATAGATAGACAGACGCCCGGTATACACCCGTGCGCGCAGAACTGGCACACCCGTGGAAAAAGCGCCCTCCTCGTGAATATTCTCTAGGGATTACTCGTTTCTGGCTGTCGTTCGGAAAGAAAACCTTGACAGCACGCGAGGCAGGTAGCCCGTGCATCACGCATACATACACGCATCTCGCATACATACACGCACGCACGCACGCAGTTGGCCGTATCTGTAGGGCGGATGTATCTACCCTCTGCCCTCTACGCAGCTGCGTTAAGGCAAACATCATCATCCCTCCCTCCCTCCCTCCCTCCCTTCCTCCCTCCCTTCCCTCCCTCCCTCCCTCCCTCCCTTCCTTCCGCAGGCCGGGGGTGTCACGACGCAGGACAGCAACTTCCAGGAGATTTCCCGCTTCCTCAGCGAAACCGAGGAGTACCTCAACAAGCTGGCGCACAAGGTGGCCATGGTAAGAAGGAGTCTACGAGAGCAAAACGTGTGTGGATGGGTAGAGGGCAAGGGTGGGCAAGGGCCAGAAGTGACGTGTTGTGGCGCCTCCGTCCCGACTGCCATTCCCCACTGCTGTTTTCTGCTGCACGACGGCCTGCCTGAATGGCTATTTGCTTCTGACCGCGCCTGACCCTTTGATGGTTGCTCCTGCCTACACTGCCTCTCTGCCGATGCCCCCCGACCTGTCTATCTACCTGATGGTGAACAGTTAGCTGATTAGCTGGTTAGCCACCTGGCGCGGAAAATCGTATGTACTTATGTATGCCGTACGCTCCAAATGTAGGCCAAAGTCAACCAGCAGACTGAGGTTGTGGTGCGCGAGGCGATGGAGGAGGCGCGCCGCGCTGGTCACCCGGAGGACGAGGTGCGTGACTGTCTGTGTGTCTGTCTGTGTGTCTGTCTGTGTGTCTGTCTGTGTGTCTGTCTGTGTGTCTGTCTGTGTGTGTCTGTCTGTGTGTGTGTGTCTGGGGTGTGTGTATGTGTGTGTGAAGATTATAAGTATCTGACCAGGCCTGACGACACTGGCCATGGCTACTGCCCAGCCCCAACGGAAAGACCGCCTAAGAGCTCTCTCGCGGACGGGCGTGTGTAGGTATGTGTATGTGTGTGTAAAGAACGGAGCCGCGAGACATAAAAGGGTTGGAATGTGTAGTGTGGTGTGTGTGTGTGTGTGTGAGTACATGGATAACCACCGTCTTGAGGCGCAGCCGCGGCGACTGTAATGTTGGTTTGATCACTTGCGATGGCGAAATGAAGCGCGCACCGTCGCTTGGACCGAAGGGACCGCTCTCTTCCTAACGCTTTCAATATATGGATGCTGTGTGCGCGGGGGCTGCAAGCACACCTACACGCATACATGTACACGTGGCACCACGGGATTACTGGTGCCGCCCCCGCTGCTGCTGCTGCCGCTGCTGCTGCTGCTGCTGCTGCTGCTGCCGCTGCTGCTGCCGCTGCTGCTGCTGCTGCTGCCGCTGCTGCTGCTGCCGCCGCCGCTGCTGCTGCTGCCGCTGCTGCTGCCTTCCTTACCACCGCCGCCGCTGCCGGTGCACCCCCTGCCGCCAAACGTCATAGATCCGCGTAATTGGCGAGCGTGCCGCCGCGGAGTACAGGCCGAGTCAGACCTGCTTCGTCGCAGCCGCACAATGTCGGGCGACGCGCAGGCGCGGCTGCAGGAGCTCGCGCACACGGTGACGGAGGAGGTGTGTGTGCCCAAGCTGCTGCAGCCGCCGCCCGGCGCCACGCTGCGTGACTACCAGATGGTGGGTCTGCGCTGGATGGTGTCGCTGTACAACAACAACCTCAACGGCATCCTGGCCGATGAAATGGGGCTGGGCAAGACCGTGCAGGTGATAGACGGGGGAGATGGGGGGGGGGCCTGAGGGCGAGGGTGGGGGGCCGAGGGGAAGGGGGCGGGAGGCCCTCTCTTCTTTACGTGTGTGATGGTGTGTGTGTTTGACGGTGTGATGGTGTGTGTGCTTGACGGTGTGATGGTGTGATGGTGTGTGTGCTTGACGGTGTGATGGTGTGTGTGCTTGACGGTGTGATGGTGTGATGGTGTGTGTGCTTGACGGTGTGATGGTGTGTGTGCTTGACGGTGTGATGGTGTGATGGTGTGTGTGCTTGACGGTGTGATGGTGTGTGTGCTTGACGGTGTGATGGTGTGTGTGCTTGACGGTGTGATGGTGTGTGTGCTTGACGGTGTGATGGTGTGATGGTGTGTGTGCTTGACGGTGTGATGGTGTGATGGTGTGTGTGCTTGACGGTGTGATGGTGTGATGGTGTGTGTGTGTGTTTGTATCCTTGCTCGGATAAACCCTAGGCGTAGGCGTGTGTAGGTGTGTGTGTGTGTGTGTGTGCGTGCATGTATCTACCCGTGCCTTGGCGTCCATGTCCTTGTTGTGATGAAGGTTAAACAGCCAAGACTTTCTCATGTGCGGGTCCATGACGGTCGGAAGTCGGAATCATAACGTATTGATACGACGTGAAGGCTGCTCGCGTGCTCTTCTTCCCGTTTAGGGTACTTCATCCCCTAAAGAGGAATAAAGGGGATGAAAAGCTACCACATATATATATATACGGTCGCTCCATATGCGTTGCATAGTCCAAAGGAAATACACGCGCAATTTGTGTGCGTTGTCCCCCTTCTTCCCCTTTAGTTCCCCCTAGGGGAAGACTTCATCCGTGCCATCTTCGGGCCGGTCCTGTCCCCTTTCCTCCGTTTCGCTATTCTTCACATACTCTCCTGGGTAGCAGCATACGGTGCTGCTCATGATACATACCCACATCCTCACACTCGTACGCGTATTTTTTCTCCGTGTACGACGCATGCGCATTTGCTCATACGCTTACTCCACACCCCGATGGATAGAAATATTTTTCATCTGTCTACTGCTAACGCTATCATCCGTAATCATCCGTAATCATCCGTAATCAGAAGGTACGAGTTCAATTGTTTTTTATTGGTTCTATCTTCACTTCCCTCTTGTTCCCCACCCACCCACGCACCCAAACCTCGACCCCTCCAACCCCTCCAACCCTCCAACCCCTCCAACCCTTCGTCCCCCAGGTTATGGCGCTGATCGCCTACCTGATCGAGCGCAAGAACTGCTTCGGACCGCACCTCATCATCGTGCCCAACGCCGTCATGGTCAATTGGAAGTCGGAGCTGACCAAATGGCTCCCCGGGGTGCGGTGCGTGTACTACGTCGGATCGAGGGACGAGCGCGCGCGCAGGTACGAATGCCGTACGTACGTCCCGTGACACGAGTACGTGAGTACGGATGCCAGGGTGCTGCCGCAGGGGGGTGGGGGAAAGAGGAGAGGACTCGAGGGGGCCTCGACAGGGCGAGAGTGTGTATACGGACCGACATGTGCACGCGGTGGGCCTATGCCGTCACACCGGGATGCCAATCTCAGCCCATGTTCTATTTATTGTCGGTTCACCTAAATTGCGCTGCCGCAGTTTTCCCGCTTCCTGTGCCCCCCATCCTTTACTAGGGCAATTTCGCGCAATTTCGGACTTCTCCTGCGTTTTTAAAATGTTCCAATTGGCCACCACTTCAACTAATCTCTATTTCATACTTATTATTATACCATTATAATTGTATTATTTATTATTCTACCATTATTATATTATTTGTTATATTATTATTTATTTTGTATATTTGTATTCATAAATTTAGTATTTTATTTGTAACCGGATTTTCCTCCTTTGTTCTCCTGTTCTCCGTACGACCGCCCCAGGTACACGACCGAGGTGTCCCACGGCCGGTTCAACGTGCTGGTGACCACGTACGAGTTCATCATGCGCGACCGCTCCAAGCTGTGTAAGATCGACTGGCGATACATCATCATCGACGAGGCGCAGCGCCTGAAGGTGAGAGCGGGCGTGAGAGAGCGGGCGTGCGTTTTCTTGATATTCGGGGGAAGAAGGCGCCGAGGGCAGATCGAGCCGAGAATTTGGCTCCCTACATAACAAACATGACTGGCACGAAATCACTTTTGTTTTACTCTTCACACCGTCACGCCGTCGGACAACGAAAAGTTGCATGAAAACACGTCCGCATTGCAGCAGCACCTTCATGGAATAAGTGTAACAAAAAAAGAACACTGCCGCAAACATCTGAGAAACATCAACAACTAACAACAACATCAACACCACGAACCTCAGGAACGCGAAAGTCAGCTGAGCAGGGATTTGGACCGCTTCAAGAGCGGCTACCGGCTGCTGCTGACGGGCACGCCGCTCCAGAACGAGCTGCGGGAGCTTTGGAACCTGCTCAACTTGCTGCTGCCGGAGGTGCGTGCGTGCGTGCGTGCGTGCGCGTGCGCGTGTGTGTGTATGGGGATGGGGGGGGGTGAGAAGGGGTGAAGGCGGTGGGGTGTGGGGGATGGTAATGGTGGACTTGGTGGGTGGTAATTTGGACAGCGGGGTGCTGTCTGGTGGGGTGGCGTACGTACAACCCCTCCTACACATTGCCATGCCGTACAACCCCTCCTACACATCGCCATGCCGTACAACCCCTCCTACACATCGCCATGCCGTACACCACCTCTTTACACTTTCACACGCCAATCGTCCATCCTTGCCGCCCTTCCTGTGTCCCTGCACGGCAGGTCTTTGACGACAAGAAGCAGTTCGCCTCCTGGTTCGGCGACCAGCTGGACAAGTCTGGCGATGACGACGAAGGGTACGGCACAGGCGGCCTGAGTGCGAGTGAGCTGCTGGCTCGAGAGAAGAAGCTCGTGGTGGTTCACCGGCTGCACCAGATCTTGCTGCCCTTCATGTTGCGTCGCCAGGTAGGCGGGTGTTTGGGTGGGATATGGGGTGCGGGTACTGGTGCTGGTGCTGGTGCGCTGAAGGTGGTGGGGGATGTGGATGATGTGGGATATGC